CTGCATTGGGCCAATCAGAGGGGGCCACGTGTCATAGGAATGAGAAGCGATTCAGTTGCTGTGATTGAAGAGACGTTTTGACCGGACAGGTACAGCCCGGTAGAGTTTTAGCTCGGCTGGAAAGGCGAAAGGGTTTTTAGCTCGGCTGGAAAGGCTTAAAAACCTTAGCTCGGCTGATAAAACAGGTAATCCCTATCATGCTACGCAGATGGAATTAAGGGGCAATTGAGAGGGTAATTTATGTGAAAATTGGGCCGAGCTGGGTAATGGGCCGTTATGTGCCGCAGTACAAAGGGCCGAGTAAAAGGGCCATGTAAGTTACTCCGGTCGTGTGGATATTTTGAAGTTAGTCCGGTCCTAAGGCCGTGAAGCTAGTTCGGTCCGACAGAAGATCGAAGTTAGATCGGTCTAACGGTACTTTGGAGTTAGACCGGTCTTGGAGTTACACCGGTCATGACATGCTAGTTCGGTCTAACCACACCATGGGTTGTACATGAGAAGCCGACGTAAGAGCAGTGAAAGGAATAGCTAGTTCGGCTTATTCTGCGGCTATGCATAGTCATGTTTATTTCGGTCATATTGGAGTTCGGCCATGATAAAACCATCTCACTTGGTTTACGTAGTGAGGGGAGTGTTGAAGGATAAACATTATCTTTCAGGAGTATGAATCCTAAGAGGACTCTGCATGGAGGAGTAGAAGTCCTACTAGGATTGTGCCACACGAAACCTATAAAAGCTCACAAACATCACCATTAGAGAGGTAACACAACTTTGTTTTCTGAATACACAGAGCTTTTGTCTATTTGTCAAGCTTACTGACTTAGGCATCGGAGAGGTTTCCGGCACACACTCGCCAGCTAGCTTACGTTTGTGTTTTCAGGTGATAAAGCGACGACGTACGGAGGAGCGCAGACTTGATCAACAGGATTATACGAGAAGGTTTATTTATTTTCCGTACATCTTTGCTCTTCAAAGATGTATGCTTCTAAATTGTTATATTCTCACAAGTATTGGAATCTCAAAACAATAGAATATGTATACTTGTGCAAATGTTACTCTTGCTTAAAACAGGTCAAATGGTCGATACTAAGCTATGACAGGGTCGACACCAAAAAACAATGAGCAAAGGTTTGGTGTTCAGCAGCAAAGGGTCGACACCAAAAACATAATAGGGTCAACACCAAAAAACAATGAGCAAAGCTTTGACTATTCAGCAGCAAAGGGTCGACACCAAGAACATGACAGGATTGACACCAAAAGACAGAGAGCAAAGTTTAAGTCATTCAGCAGCAAAGGATCAACACCAAGAACATGATAGGGTCAACACTAAAAGACAGAGAACAAAGTTCAAGTCTTCCAGTAAGAAAGGGTTTACACCCTTAAATTTGGATTTCAAAACCTAGCTACCATTTCTGATCTATGAGCAGACTTTGCTGTCATCATTATGAGTAGACTTTGCTATCATCATTATGGAGACATATCTTATCTCCACCTACCAAGATCTATATTAATGGGCATCACATCTTTTGAGGAGGCTCCGTCTCCAAAGGCTTGATAAGAGCCTGTATACACCCATGCTCTGCTCCAACAATCAGAAGACATCACAATGGTTAGAAGACACATCCATCATTCTCTCCAACGGCTAGAAGACATTGAGGTCTATAAATGCAGCACTTCTCCAGATCTAAGGGAAGTAAAGAACTCTAAGCATTCCAATATTATTTCTAATCAATCTCTGCTACAGATTACACTTGTACTTTCACTTTCATATATGAGTTTATTCTGAGTGTATCTCATAATTCCCTCTGCTCTTACACTTTCATATACATCTTTTGAGAGAGAAATCTTGTAAGAGAGGACAGCTGTACCTCTTGTTCTCGTTCCTTTTATTCTGAGTGAAAACTTGTAAAGTAAGGCATTTAGTTGAGAGGTCCTCAACGGATAAAGTAAACCCTGTGTAAAAATCCACAAGCTTGGTAAAGATTTGGTAGTGTACTGATTTGATTCATAGTGGAGAAATTCTTGAGGAGGAACCTTGAGAAGTGGACGTAAGAGAGTCTATATATCCTTCATTAATAATTGCCTATTCAAATTTTTAGGATTTTTTTTTAATCCTCCAAAGATGCCCCAAACTATGCACATTTCTTCCCTATTTCATTTGTTTTCCACTATTTTTACTGCAATTTTCATACTTTGCAATTTAAAAATCAGAAGAAAAAAAATCAGACAATACTGTTGAAAAATCATTCAAATGCCACAAAACACCAATGTTTCACATCACCCACATACAATCCACATCAAAATACTATAAAATACACAAATGTTCTCCTTCTCATAGAACTCTTTTTTTTTTTCTTAATTATCTTTTGGGGGGGGGGGAATAATTTTCATGTATCGCTATATACTCACTTCATTGTTGAATTCAAGTAATAATTCTTCAAATGTGAAAAGAAAAATACTATATGAATAGACATAACAGCAAGAAATCCATGTTGCTTTCATATCTTTACAATAAAAATAAGAAGTTACTACTCGGATGAATCAGTTGCAGTCTGTGATCTCATTTGGTTATTCCTTGAATTCGAACCCCACTCCATTGCTTCTGCTACTGCTCGTTGGCGTTCCTTTGCACTCTCTTCATCATTATGATTTTCACGTGTGCCCATCGCTCCATCATCAAAGGGAGCTAACAGAGGGGAACCGGTTCCTTCATTTTGTCCTGGTCCAAGGTAACTGAGAGCACTGACAACATCACTCATCAAGGGACGCATCGAGGCATCATCTTGGAGACACATGGCAGCAATAGCAACCGCTTGATTCAAGCTTTTCACGGGGAAGTCTCCTTGAATAAATGGATCTGCCAATTCCACATACCTACTTGGTTCTTTGAATATCGGTTCTGCCTGCTCAGAAATCAAACCAGTCAAAAAGTTAAAAGGTGCTTTTCGCGGCAAGGTCCTTAATACCATTGTTACCAAGAAAAAGAAACAGAAAAGTTCTTTTAAACTATGGTTGTATGCAATAGAAGACATAACATTTGTATAAAGGGGGGAGTGAAAGAACTCACCCAAGAAACTAAATTTTGCTCCTCATTTTGCCTAGTGGTGTCAATTGCTCTACGCCCGGTGACTAACTCCAACAGAACAACGCCAAAGCTGTATACATCAGACTTCACGGTCAGTTGACCTGTTCTTTGATACTCCGGGGCACAATAACCATATGTTCCCATCACCCTCGAAGATACATGTGTCTTATCACCAATAGGACCGAGCTTTGCTAGCCCAAAATCGGAGAGCTTCGCAACAAACTCATTGTCCAGCAAAATGTTGGATGATTTTAAATCACGATATATGACAGGAGGGTTGGCCTTATCGTGCAAATATTCCAGACCCTTGGCAGCACCTAGAGCTATTTTCATCCTCGTGAACCAATCTAAAGATTTTTGTCCTGATGGAATATCTGAAAATTCAAAATTTATGCACAATGAGAAGATTAAAACTACAATTTTACAAACATTGAGGACATTAAAACTATGATTTAGAAAGTACCAAGTAAATGGTCTTCCAAAGATCCCAAAGGCATGTACTCATAAACCAGAAGCCTCTGATCACCATCAGCACAATACCCGATAAGATTCACCAGATTTTGATGGTGGAGGAGGCTCAGCATCAAAACCTCCACAAGAAACTCTTTGTTTCCTTGCAATCCATTCCGATCAAGTTGTTTCACAGCTACAACCTAAGATAATCGACACAAGGCTACTATAATTCCAAACAAAACATGAAAGATATCTAGCCTAATGTATGCAACAATCGAAAGTCATTCATTACCTGGTTGGTTTTTTCAAGCTTACCCTTGTAAACTCGTCCAAATCCACCTTCACCTACTAGACATTCCTGTCTGAAATTCTTTGTTGCTGTGGCTAGCTCACGGAAGGTGAAGGTTTGTGCTGCAATATTGTTGGCAGCTTCTTTAGGGGCATCCTTTTTTATTGGAGCTTCAGCTGGGGCCCTTCTAGGAATCTCTGCACCCAATTCAAAAAATTTGTCCAAATTTTACCCAAAAAATGGGGAAAAAAAAATCACTCAATTGATGGAACTATGAGGTGATCATTGTAAAATTCAGTGAGTGATTTGATACTAGCAAGCCAAAACCCCTCATACCAATTGACATACAATTTACAATCTATGATCATCTCAGCCAAATAAACCAGAACAAAACTAATGTTCCATGAGCTTTTACTGTCATATTGATTAAAAAAGAAGGGCTAAATAATTTTCAACATCATCTCAAACAAATGATGGATCAATTAGATGATAATACAATAACTGCTGAATGTTTTTTCAGTAACACCCTTCACATTCAGTAACTGCCATATCTAAAAACTACTAAATGGGTTTTTTCATTCATCAAATTGTCCAAAACTACGAAATGGTTTTATCATTTGTCAATTTGCCCCTCAATTGTGAAACTATTTAAAAGTTAAATGTAAAATTGAATACCCATGTTGTTTGAACCAACTGCTAGTATATATGTATTGGTAATCTAAGATTGCAAAGCTGATGTACTTACCGGGCTGTGGTGGTGCGGTGGCTTCTTTTTGTTTTGGAACAACAGCATCAGGAACAGGTTCCCTCTTCTTGCTGTTTAATCTCTTTGCTGATTTCTTTCCGTGGGATGAAAAGCACGAAAAACAACTCATGTTTTCAAGCCAATTGAATCAAACTGGGACAAGATTTCCTCACAAATTGCAGAGTCAGATTAATTAAAATCTCAGAATCCTTTACACAACCAAAACCTAAGAACAATTACAAAATCCTCATCTACTTAAAAAAATATATATAAAAAAGAAAAAGAAAAAAGCACACAGATTGTGGGTTGGGGAACACAGGGTTTCACAGGTTGCCAAGAATAAGATGGCAAACCCATCAAAACCCAGGTGTTGAAATTGTTTAGAAAGTATAAGAACACTATTTATGGGTAGTCAAATTTGCCATATAAATATGTAAGACAGCTAACAGTCAAAACTAAAAAAGAGGAAAAATCTATAAGATTATGGAGGACTAGAGAAATTATGATCATCCAAAATAAGACATGTGTTGGTGGAGAAAGAGAGAAGAAAAAGGGGGAGTGATTTTCCTTCGAATTTTCCGAGGAAAATGGAGTGAGAAGGAAAATTTAGAAGGGGATGTGTTGAGGAGAGAAACCTGGGAACCAATTTTGGCGGGTATTTGAAACGGTTTGCCACGTTGGAATACCGTTGTGGGACCATAGGTTGAATCTCTTCATTCACACATCTTACCTTTTTTATTTTTTATTCGAAAATGATCCGTAGCTCGAATGTGTAGAGCTCGAATGGTTCGAATGGTACGAAAAATATTATCTTACCGGTAAGAGAATAAAAAAAACCTTTAAAACGACGTCGTTTTGGGATTTCAAGCCATTCGAGCCTTTGATAACTGTTTTTTATTTTTTTAAAATTTTAATTTATTCTTGAAGGTCTGAGTTGGCCTCGACAACTGTTATAAACAATTACTATTTCACATAATGAGATAAATATGTAATTTAAAATATTTGTATTTATTATTGTAACATTTGTCTCATCTATGCATTCTATATCACAGTACGTAGTACCTTTTGTGCTTGTAAAATTTTTTATATGAAAATAAATAAGTTAGCGTTCCTTAAAATAGTGGGGTTCATGTCCAAATGTGCGACCCAAAATTTGATCTTCTGTGCAATTTAAGGTGAAAAAAATTTGTGCGGTGGTATTGGGATTGTTTGGAATTGTTTAAATTTAATTTTTTTTAAATTTTTTGTGTCAGGATATTTGGTATAATTTTTTTTTTTTAAATTTATGACACAAAAATAACTTACATAAATTGAAACAAAAAAATAATTATTATGAAACATAGGGAGAAATACTTTAAAACTTTTGATTTAGGGAGTTTTTTTTGATAAATCCTCTTCTAAGACTTTTATTTCATTCCAACCCATATTCTTTTTTGACTATTCCATTAGGTCTTATTTGAGGTAAGAAGATCAAAACACCCTCAATCTCTCATGCCCTCATTAATGTTGATATTTAATGTTTATTATTATTATATTTTGTTAGTTTCCATGGATCAGGATGTGTACTGTCGTTATATTCACATTAATTTGAAAATAAATTTTTGCCATTGTGTTGTCAATTACATGATGTGAATATTCATAATAAAACATACGAATGTGAATGTTTACATGAATTCTGGAATATAAATAAAGACACCATAATCATGGTGACATGTGTGAAAGTTTGCATTGGGGCAAAAATATGGACAATATTAAATAGAAATTCATACTTTTCAATGGTAATCTTTATGTTATATCCACATACAAATGTTAATGTTCACAATGTTATATCAATATGATCATGATGACATGTGTGAAAGTTTGCATTGAGGCAAAAAAAAATGGACAATATTAAGTAGGAATGGATACTTTTCAATGGTAATCTTCGTATTATATTCACATACAAATGCTAATGTCCACAATGGTAATGTCAAGGTTTTGAATATAAGAATGATGGTAATGTTCACATTGTAGCTTACAAAGTACAAAAATATGACAACATCAATAATGCATTAACCACACACCACTATTTTTTTGGGTAAACAAATATGATGTGAATAAGAATGTACAAATGATGTGAATGTTCAGATCACAACACTAACTACACACATAGACAATAATATATCAAACCATCATTTCATTATTTTTTGAAAAAAAACAAAAAACAAAAGGTTCACATCCTTTGAACACCATCAACACCAATAGCAACTACAATCACAATTATCAAATTTTTTAATAAGTTTGATGAAAATAGAGCTTTTTTGGTTTAGGGACATTAAAGTTTGATGAAAATGGAGCTTTTTTGGTTTAGGGTTTAGAGATATTAAATATCAATATTAAATATCAACATTAAATATAAGGATATAAGAGTCTAAGAAAATAGTATAAATCAAGAAAAAAGATTTTATGAAATAAAAATATACATACATGAAACTAAATTGGTTAAAAAAATCATTCATGAACTTCTTAAATTAAAAAATTTATAAATGAGATTTATCAATAAAAATCTCTTTGAGTTATAATTATTAATTTTTAACTTGCTTAAAAGTTGTACCAAACAAACTCATTAACTATTTGCGCATTATATGGTTTTGACTCCTTTTTTTTAAAATCACAGTCCTTGTTTCAAAACACCTGCATTTATTGAATTATGTACCGTATACAGGTTTTAGACTAAAAGGTCTTGTTCTCAGAGTCTCAATATATAGGGCACTGATTCAAGCTTCTGTCTAGTAGTTATCCTATCTAACATCAATTTATTTATTTAACTTAAAAAATGTCTAATTTGTCCAATCAATAAAAAAAAAAAGTAACACCAGAATAGTATAGTTTGCCACTTTCAACCCATCTCAAAGTGTAATTCCAAACACACCTGGGTGATAAGAGATTGTTACACAACAATTCTATCATCACAAGCAAAACACAGAATTACTGAAAGAAGAAAATTAACAAACACTGGACATCAAAGATCAAACAACTAGTTTTGTCTCTCATCAATGATGATGATTATTTATGCATCAATACAAATTAGAAGATAAGATAGTACAAATCAAGTAGATCATGCATTCGTGTTCTAGCCATCTAGGAAGCATTGACTGTAATCTTCAAGCCACCATTGCAATGGCCTGGGATGCTACAGATGAAGTAATTAAGTCCTTTCGACAACTTGACCTGATCATTCCCACTGCTGAAAACTGTAGAGGTTGCAGAAGATGTGCAGCTATTGTACCCGTTTACATCGACAATCACCACATTGTGGACTGACGGATTATAGTTGAAAACTAAAACGAGACACGAATGATTAAAGATCATATTATGCAGAAAAAACAAGAGGAAGAAGAAGAAAGAATAATAAGTAATTACAAATGACACAGAGTATTTCATCTTACTTAGCATATCCCCGACCTTGAATTGCTTCCCATTTGTCCAGCTTCCAACACTAAAATCCCATCCTGAAGAATCACCAACAGTGAAAGTGGCTGCGTGAATTGTTTCCAAGTGAAGTGCGAGGGAAACGAGGAGAGCAGTGGCAAGAGCCACAGCTCTGCTTGCACTGCATCTTCCCTGGTGATACTTCAATGCCATGACGCAAAGGTGGAGAAGAAGCTACAAATAAAATACTGAGAGCTTCCTAGCTAAGGGTGTATTTGAGAAATGGGGTTGTTGTTGCTTTCATAAAGGTGCATGTCTTTGGGTATCAAATGGAGGGTGTCAGTTAGTGCCTGGGAATAATTTGTTAGTGGGCGAAACAAAAATAAGCAAAATAAAGTAATTTCTTGATTGTCTTGTTCTGTGGGAATGGGGACACTAAATGTTATTGCCTTCCAATGATTAGCAAGCAGCCTTTGTTGACTGCACAAGGCCAGTGCAAAAACAGGTAAACCAAACCAAACCAAACCTTAAGTCCCATCAAGTGGGGTCGGTTACATCAGTGTTGTCAAAGGCGCGCCTAGGCGCACGCCTAGGCGCAAGGCGAGTCGAGGCTCAGCAGCTGCGCCTGTACAGGTACCAGGCGAGGCGAATTGAACCAGGCGCTCGCCTTAGACGCGACTTGATCAAGGCGAGAGAGGTGCAAGGCGATCGCATTTACAACAAAAATAAGAGAGCTATTTACTCTTCACAAAAATATCCACGCCCTCAGTTCGGCAGGATCACCACATCTTTACCTGTACCAAATCCTATAGGGGTGAGCACAAAGCCCAGTAGAGAATTCTAACAAAGTATATACAGTTATGCCAAATCTCAATAAAATAGTTGAGATCAATGTCAATCAACACCGCAAGTTGACAAGTAGTAGCCAAGGTTCATCCAAATCCAAATCCAAATCAAAAACGCCAAAGAGAAAAGGGCCTATGGATGTTTACGTCACACCCAATCCTGAATCAGTGGTGAAAAATCGAAAAGACCAAGCAAAAGGGAAACAAATCAAAATTGATGCAAATGACCCTTACAAAAAAGAAATAAGAGCTCGAGCACTACAAAGATTTGCAAGGTGGATGTATGATGATGGCATCCCTTTTAATGCAGTAAATTATGAGAGTTTTGGACCAATGATTGAAGCCATTGACCAATATGGTCCTGGTATGAAGCCACCGACATACCATGAAGTGCGGGTTACCCAACTCAAAAAAGAAGTGAAACATACTGAAGATTTGATGAAGAATCATAAAGAGGATTGTGCAAAATACGGGTGTTCCATAATGGCAGATGGTTGGACTGATAAGAGAGGAAGGACATTGATTAACTTTTTAGTTAATTGTCCAAGAGGAACCATGTTTGTTGAGTCGGTTGATGCTTCTAGCTATTCAAAGGATGGGCAAAAGTTATTTGAATTACTAGACAAGTTTGTGGAGAAAGTTGGAAAAGAGAATGTGGTGCAAGTTATAACTGATAGTGCTGCAGCTAATGTGTTGGCGGGTAAGAATATTTCCTCATTCCTTACATCAAAATTGTTTACTCATAGTTTGTTTTGTATTTAAAATTTATAAACTTGAAAATAATAATTCTTCATTATTGTTACATTATAGGGAGGTTTTTGGAAGCTAAGTATGAACACTTGTATTGGACACCATGTGCTGCTCATTGTTTGGACTTGATGTTAGAAGACATTTTCAAGATACCTAGACTGAAAAAGACATTTGAAAGGGGTATTGCAGTACATGGCTACATTTACAATCGGCCTACGTTGCTAAACATGATGAGGCGTTTTACAAATTTGAAGAATTTGATCAAGCCTGCAAAAACTAGATTTGCAGCCGCCTTTTTGACTTTGTCTAGGATGCATCAACAAAAAAACAATTTGAGAAAGATGGTCACCTCCGAAGACTGGACCTCAAGCAAATGGTGATGTTGTTTGGAAGGTAAAAGAATGGCACAAACTTTGTTGATGCCTTCATTTTGGAAACTGTTGTGTTTGCCCTTAAGGTCTCGGGTCCTCTTGTCAAAGTGCTTAGATTGGTTGATACCGAGAAGAAACCTCCCATAGGATACATTTATGAGGCAATGGATAAGGCAAAAGAATGCATTGCAAGTTCATTTGATCATAAAAAAGAGAAGTATAATGAAATCTTCAAAATCATCGACAAAAGATGGAATGTTCAATTGCATCGACCTTTACATGCAGCTGCACATTTTCTTAACCCAGAATTCTTTTATCCAAAAGCGTTAGAGGTGCAAAGAGATCATGAAGTGATGAATGGGTTTTATGAATGCATGCAAAGGTTGGTCCCGGATGTCACTGTTCAAGATTTGATCACTAATGAGATGAGTATTTATATGAAGGCTGAGAGTCTTTTTGGCAAGTCTGTTGCATTAGGCAAAGAAATACAAGAGCACCAGGTAATATATTATAGACTCATAGAGTTTATTTTTAGAATACTTTTAGTAAACTTAATACTTGGTAACAATTATTTCTAACTAGTGGATTATCGCAGCTGATTGGTGGGCATCATATGGTTCTTATACTCCAAACTTGCAACTTTTGCCATAAAAGTCCTTAGCCTAACATGTAGTTCATCGGGTTGTGAACGAAATTGGAGTGTATTCGAACATGTGAGTATTTAACATTCTAACTAATTTTTTGTTCAATTCAAATATTTTTTATTCTAATTATATAGAATTTAATATCTTTTTAATAATTGCAGCTTCATAGCAAGAAAAGAAATAGATTGGAACAACAACGTCTCAATGATTTAGTGTATGTCAAATACAATAGAACATTGAGATTTAGGTATGACATGCGCAACACTCTTGATCCCATATCTTTGCAAAATGTTGATGAAAGCAATGAGTGGTTGCTTTGGAGGATGGATGGAGAATCAGATGAAGATAATGAGTTTGTGTTTGATGATGATGATGGCTTGACGTGGGCCACTGTTGCTAGAGCTTCTAAGTAGAGAGAAAGTAGCCATGCAAGTAGAGCAACAAGTTCACGCTCAAAGGCACAACCGAGGATATCTAAATCATCAACATTGACTCTACTTCATTAATAGATGAAGAGGAAGCGGGCTCAGGTGACACAAGAGAGGAAGATGTTGAGGGATACAAATCAACTGATGGAGAAGAAGATGATAGTTTGCTTGCCATTGATGTTGAGAATGATGATTGACTGACACCGACCTAACCTACTCTTTCTTTTGATATTGATGTTTTTAAGTGTTAAGACATATATTAGTATTTGTTGGTTATTTATGTTTTAGATGTTTAGTGTTTATGTTTATTTTATTGAATGTGGATTATTTGATCTTTAAAAATTGAAATGTTATGTAATATGCACTTTCATGGCTTTGAGAATTATTCTAGTTTTTTGTCTTGAATCTTGATTACTTTTTATTTTTAAAAAATTGTCTTAGTACTATGAATGATTAGTCTTAATTAATTTTTCTATTTTTTACGAATACTGTGCGCCTTACTTCAATAAAGCCGCGCCTCGCCTGCTAGGCTCCAAGAGACCTTCGCGCCTTAGTGCGCCTTGAGCCTTTAAAAAACTGGGTTCATGAACTATCAAAGGCTATTTCGTTAGTCAAATTAAGTAGATCCATATCTCTATTACAACGCTATCCAACGTTAATCTAGGCTTATCCGGTCCCCTAACATTTCGATCTACCGTTACAGCATCGCATCTCTTCATTATTGCCTATGTTGATCTCCGTTGAATATGACCAAACCATTTCAATCGATTCTCTCTCAAAAAATTTATGCATCATGTTTGAAAGGAGAGATCTATTGTGTTGATTGAAGCTGTAGAATCGGCCAGAGACATGAATTGGTTCATGCTTACGTTTTGGTATCATGAAATGACACAGAAAAAAGACTTAAAATTGAGGGGTTCCGACTTTCTCTAGCCTTCGTAGAAAACGTTCATGCATTAAGCAGAGCATCATCCAATGGAAGAAAATCAAGATTCCAAGTTACACTACACACTACATCCAAAACTCCAAAACAGACAGAACTAGTTTTGATATGAATTAAGTAATCCTTAGCTCTTATTTTTCTAACAATGGTTGTTGGGAATTTGAATGGCCTTGGATAGAGTCGAGTAAAAAAGAATAATTCATGCAACCAACCTATTTGATGGGACTTAAAGCTTAATTTGGTTTAGTTTGATTTGGTTTGGTTGATGGGACTTTGAAAACCAAGAATACATTTGTCTTATTACTTGTTTTCATGGGCACACCAAGCTGGTCCACTAGAAGTTTTCCCACTTCTAAAGAAGTATTTCTTAGTCAAATAAAACCAAAATCAACCAAACACAAATAATTCTTTTTATGTTTTAGTTAATTTACCCCTCAAAGTTCAATTGGTTAAAATACTACAAGGCAATCACGTGGTAGCATGACACCATCCAAAAAGGCAAAAAAGAAAGAAATAATAACTAGAATAAAAAAAGTCCAAGAAGTAGTCTTCCTGATTCCATCCATTAGTTTAATCCAGAAGCACATCTTCCAATATAATTTATAAAATAGTTTACTATTGTTAATAAAAAAGATCAAAACACACTATTAAACATCAATCAAGTCACAAGAGATCACTACAGTCATGTTTTACAACATTTACAGCAGTATGAGTTGATTGAAAAAACACAATTAAAATTTATTCAAAAAAAAAAAAAAAAACACAATTAAAACCTTCAGAAGATTGTGTTAAGACTATAGCTCTAGAAAAATCACCTTTGGTGGCCAACACATTCCAACCTCTTGGTCATTCCTGATTATGCATCCTATTCCAGTGCCCTGTTTTCTAAATACCACTTAGCAATCCGGAATTATGCATCCTCTTTTAACAACCATGTTTCTTCCAAGACAAGTTGTATGGTCCAAAGATGGTTCATACCCAATCAATTGAACCTGAAGAAATTACTTCTCTAACGAAAACTTTCCAGAAAACCTAGATCAAGAAACCACAAGGTTTGTGCAGATGTGGCTAAGACCTGGCTCCCATTAACATCACCTTCTTTGCTCCAATTTTCTCTCACTCTATACGCTTCATTCCACATCCCTGCCCCGGCATAACATTAGAAAGTGCAATATGAGTCGTCAAAATTTGTTTCTTTGTCTCTAACATCTTCTTAGCTGCCCTCCTTCCCATTTTCCACATTCCATGCAATTGACATGCCCCAAGCATTGCGGCCCAAATGGTACCTCTAGAACTCATTTCTCCAACATCAATTTCTTCCAGCAAATTCCATGCTTCCTCAGGCTTCCAGCGCGTCCCAACATATCAACCAAACATGTGTAATGATCTTCCCTTGGAATTAATCTATACTTCTCCTTCATCAGTTTAAAGTATTGTAACCCCTCAACCACCAAACCACAATGGCTGCAAACAGTTAAGACAGACACAAATGTCACCTCATTTGGTTCAACGCCCATTTCCATCATCTGCTGGAAATATCAAGGGCTCGAAAACCAAACCATGAACTGCATACCCCATAATGATAGATGTCCATGCAACTACATTTCTCTCCACCATCAAATCAAAAACAGTTTGTGCATAGGACAAATAGCCGGCTTTAGAAATACATATCCACAAAGCCGTTTCCAACAACCACATTATTGGTATCAGCTCTAGTTAATGTCCTCATGAGCTTTGCATGGATTTGTTTTTCCCATTTCTAAGTTTGTTAAATAGCTACATGCTTCAAGACCCGCTACAAAAGTGAAGCAGTTCCCTTAACTCTAGATCCATCCCCGTTAGAATACATTTTAGCTAGTAAATCTAAACTTTCTGTGGCATATGTTCTGTAAATACCCAGATAACATGCTCGTCCATGAAATGACATTTTTCTCTGACATTTCTTCCCACAGTGTCCTAGCATCTTCAACTAAACCATTTATACATATAACCTGATATCATCGAATTCCAAAGAGCCACAAGTTGGGCAGGCAGCCAAGCATCAAAAACTTTTCGAGCTTCACCAATGCTACCGCACTTGCTGTACATATTGATCAAAGCGCTTCCAATAATTGCATCGCCATCATCCAATGAATAATTATTACAATGACAGCTAGAGAAAGCAATAAGAAAGCCATGGACTTGTCTTCCGACTTTGAGCAAAAAGAGCTCTGTGCATACAGTCAAAAGAGGCACAAACATAGTGCTATCCACTTTAAAAAATTCTGCAATGTTATTCTCAGAAGCAATATAATCAACTGCATCATGATATCTTTGATTAATGACATAGCCTCTGATTTTTATGAGTTTCGAAACAACATTCCCTTGCATTTCATTTCAATAGTCTTTCAGCGCAAGAAACTTCACCGCACTGAAAGTACATGTTACCGATCGGATTCACACAATTCGACTCAAGCCACTGACAATAATGTACCCATGAAACCTGCATACCCAAAATCAGATCTTGAGTCCACGCACAACCTGCTAATACAGACCCAAAAGTAAACTCATCGGCGTGCATAATTCATGCACTTCATCTGGTAAAACAAACCCAACCCATAATTTTCCATTCCATTACGAACATACCCAACAATCATTGCATTCCAAGTAACCAAATTTCTCTCCGGCATTTCATCAAACACCTTACGTGCAGACCCAATCACCCAACATTTGGAGTACATATCCAAAAAAGCCCGTTTCAACAACAACATTGTTGGGTAAAAACCCCCAGATTTGATTGCAAGGGCATGGATGATCTGACCCATTGGAGGTGTTCCGGGGAAGAAGCGATGGCGCGAGCGACAGTGGCGAGGACGAATGGGTTGTTGGGTTGGAGGGAAGGGAAGATAGACGGAGCATGAGGGAGAAGAGGTGGAGGGCTGTGTGGGGTTGGTTGAGGCGAGTGAGGAAGAGATTAGGGAGGTCCATAGGACAGTGTCCTTTGGGGCACTTGGTCGAACAGTTTGTGGCGTGATTCAGAGAGGTCGGAGATTGAGAATATGATATGTAGTCGTTGAATGAGTCGAGTGGCGACCAAATGGGTTTGTGTCGAGGCCGAGCTTGATGAACCTGGCATGTCTGTTCATTCATGCTCTCTCTCCTCTCTCTCTCTCTCTCTCTCTCTCTCCTTCCTGCACAGAGAAGAGAAGCAGAGTTTGAATTGGTCTGACTTTTCCAAGCCCAAATGAAAGATTCTTACCAAGCCCATCAGCTTCAATTTTTGTTATCACTACTTCATGTCCAAAACTTTAGCCCATTTATCAAATAGTGTTAATGCATGCAGGTTTTGTTCATTTTATAAAAAAAATATTAATTTGATCATTGTTTTTTTTTTTTTTTTGCTCAGAATTTGATCATGTTTGGGTATCACATTTAACTAACCATGAATAAAATATATTTTTAAAAAAAGGTTCTCTTTTATTTTGGTTTCTGTCAAAATCAAAAATACTAATGCTGTGTTTGTTGGGGATTTGATGAAAGGATTTGGAAAGGAAATGAAAAGGTAAGTGAAATGTGAAAAACATGCCTAAATTTCACTTAGTTTCCACCTTTTCCCTTTCCCTTTCAAATCGCTTCAAAATCTCCAACCAAACACAACATAAAGAAAAGATATTCAAATGAGTTAAAAATTTAAAGTTAGTGTGATATGGTGTCTCATTTTAAAATGATTATGATCTCTTTTTTTTATTTATTATTTATTTATCAAAGATACGTGTTATTATGTTAGTGTAGTTAGATTACAACTTAAGGATTCACCACTGCTCAATCATCTCAAACTTTTGACCTCCCACTCATCACACTTAAGGTGTAACTACTAATCATTAGATCACACCCTAATGTCTAAAATGGTTATTATCCACAGATGAATTTTTTCTGTTTACCTTTTTTTTTTTTTCCTTCTAGATTTATAGTATTGGAGATACACTATACTAATTGACCCAAGTTCCTGCTTCTCCACATTGGTTATTCTATTTTGATGTTTGATGATAATACAAAAAACAAGGAAGAAAATTGATTGTGTTGCAACATCATCTTTTTTGTTGTTTAACTTAAATATGCAGTAAATTAAAAGGTTTTACTTTTGAACCAACAAGAGTTGGCATGAATGTTGCATATGCAACTTACTTCACCCAAATTCCTTTTCCAATTCCTCCCCGTTGGGGGGGGGGGGGGGGGGGCATTTGTTTTTTCTGTCTCAAATTATATTGCATGAATCCTCCCCCTCTCTCTTTCATCTATATTATTAGACACCTTACACGGCATTCATGCATACATTGGTATAACAAATAAGGAAAACTACACTTTCTGTGAAGTTTTGGAAAAGTATTTACTGATTAGTAGGAAAAGTTTATAAATTTAAAATTAATTTTTTATAAACCTTACCACTAATTTGAAATTTTTTTTTGAAAAAAATACACCGAGGTGTAATTCTTCATAATAAATAAAAGATGAGATTATTGCGCCAAAGCAATTACTCTCCTTTTTTTATGAAGAAAATTAGGTAGCGTTTGGTAGAATTTTAGAATTATGATTATGTATGGAGTTGTATTTTGAGTTTGTGAGTTTTGAATTATAATTAAAAAGAGAAATTTTGTTTGGTTATGAGTTTTGAAAATATGTTTGAATTGAAGTTTTGAATTTTTGAAAATGAATTTTTAAATTAGAAAAATTGTTTGATTCAAAAACTTATAACTCATAACCAAAACACAATTCAAAATCTATTCAACGCTCATAACCAAACTCTTTTTAAAATTCAATTCAAAAAAATAATTATTGAATAAAACAATTTTTTAAAAAAAATTTGAAAATACTTTTTATGTAAAATATAAAAAATATTTTTTTTAAAAAAATCAAAAACAAATTCCCATTTTTTTTTTCTCCAAAATAACGGTGCCAATTGCCACCAAAAAAAACACTGTTCCGATCGACCTACCGACGTTTGGGGGGACGTCGGGAGGATGGGCCGGTAGACCCAATTTACTCTTTTTCAAAATTCAAAATTCAAAAAAACTCCTAGCTCTCCAAATATGATCTGAAATGCGTTTTGGAATGTGACATTGGAATCAATTTTTGAAAACTTAAACCAAAACAAAGTATGAAAAATGCATGGAATTCATGTTTTCAGAGCTGCTCCAAACACAACCTTAATTATCATAACATTTTTCTTTGAGTAGTAGATAGTGACTACAAAAAAATAAAAAATAATAATTATACAACAATTGTCATATAGATTGATGTAGTTTATTGATTGTTTAGCATAATTTACAAATAGCTACTACATTATTCTAAAAATAATTATGTATAATATTTTTTAACAAGTTAAGCATTTTTCTATGATTAATTTACATACAACACTTAGTAGTGCTTAATCCGCATAGAAGTCGATAACATAAGAAATTTATCTGAACTATTATTATTATTACAGAAATGATAATTTCTTTTATTTTCAATCAATAGGTTGGGAAAAGTTAGATTGGGTTTTTTTTTGGCTATTTTAGCATAAAAGATAAAATAGGGTTATTTTTAGTCACAAAAAATAAAACATCACAATCCAACCCATTAATCCTATTGATCAAGTCCGCGCTTCTCCGTACGACGCGCTTTACTCCCTGAAAACACAAACGTGAGCTAGTCGGCGGGTGTGTGCCGGAAAGCCTCTCCGATGCCTAAGTCAAAAAAACACAGACAAAAAGACAAGAAAGCTCTGTGAATTCGAGAATCAAAAGTTGTGTTACTCTCCATAGGTGATGTTTGTGAGCTTTTATAGTTTGGCGTGGCACAATCCTAGTAGGACTTTTTACTCCTCCATTACAGAATCTCTAGGATTCATACTCCTGAAGGATAATACTTATCCTTCAAACACCCCCCTCACTGCTTAAACCAAGTGAGATGGCTCTTCCATGGCCGGCCTACCATACGACCGAAGTAATCACGACTATGCTTAGCCGAACTATACCTAGTTCGGTTTCTGCCCATAGTTTTCTACAAACCATGGTATACTCAAAACCAAACTATCTTTTTTTATCAAGGTTTAGACCGATCTAGTTTCACTGCGCCATGACCGGTATAAGTTCAAACGCACCCTTAAACCGGTCTAAGCGTCTTCAACCGGACTAACATCAAGAGTCCCTCGGACCGGTTCTACCTTCTGGGCTTGAGATCGGACTAACTTTAAGCTTCTTCAAGATCGGAGTAACTTTATGGCCTCTTTACTCAGCTCTTCGTCTGAGCCCATAAAGGCCCAGCCTCGGCCCAATTCGCATATAAATTACCCTCTCAATTGCCCCTTAATTCCATCTGCGTAGCATGATAGGGATTACCTGTCAGCGCAGCTAAAACTCTGAAGCCTTTTAAAAGCCGAGCTATACAATTTTTAACGCTTCCAGCGAAGCTAAACTTAAGCCGAGTTGTGCTTGTTCGTCACAACGTCCCTTCAAATCACAAACTGAATCGATTCTCATCCTTATAACATGTGACATGCTGGTATTGGCTTACTGCAGCTGTCGCGCCGCCCTTTGTACTCCGCAAAATTTGAACAGTCCCGCGCATTTTTGTCCTTCCTATATCCAAAACAACACTTTCGTCCTTTGAATTCACCCTCATCAATCATTTTACTGTTTCAAGCTCTTCTCTCTCTTTTCCTCTCTTCTTAGCTCTTACTATTTTTTGTATTTCGAAGAAGCTGCGTGTTCTTGCTATTGTTGCTACTTCCACTTCCATCTTCTTGTGCCTCTAGACCTGGTAGGCATCATAAATCTGTTTCTCTATTTTTTTGTTTTTGCTTTGTTTTAATCCATAGCATTCTATGTTTGAAAAAACACTTTTAAGAACCACTTGAACTTTCATGAAGTAGTCTATAGAACAACTGTGTTTGATCCAAAATTACAATATAACCGAACTAAAAAGTAGTTTGTAGTCGATGCCACGCTAATCCTAACTATACGACCAAGCTAGCACTTCATATTTATACTAGCAATTTCAATAAGTCCAAACCATCCTCTGATTTTACCTCAGCCGGGATAAACGAACCGAAACTAAGTTTGAACTTAGACATATACTGGAAACTTTTACTTTCGACCGAGCTAGGTCTTCGGGGCTAAGCCAGCTTTCTAAGTTTTTAGACTAAACTCAGAAAGCTGCCTTAGAGCTCAACCGGTTCTGACTGAGCCTTCTCTTTAACCGAGATAACGAATCACTCGCCAAGACCGAGCTATCGAAACCCCCTGCTC